AAAATTTCTTAGTTTGTTCCTACTTGCTTCATGAGACAAAGACCTACTAACTATTGTTACCATGGCAACAGCAAAGTCAAATCATAGACCCTCTGAGGGTCTTTGGTCAAATACTATTTTTTAATTCTTTTGCAAAATATACTATACAAACTTGATTTCACACTTTTTTTACTTGTATATTCCATGAAAGTTACGATAATTTTACTTGTCATGCACAATTTTTGCAGATTGATATTTTCTTTTAAAAGATCAAATCAAATTCTGTGTCACTACGCCACCATATTTTGACTATTGGCTCTTCATGGAAAATTAAAACTTGTTCAATGTTGATCAATGATATTTCTAACAGAATGCACATGTGCTGTGGTAAACAAATACTTGTATATAGTAAGTCAGTGGGATGTAATTAACAAAGGTGGGAGCTCAATGAAATTTGCTCTCATTTCTGCTCGTCTTGAACAAAATAGACATACACAAACATTCAAATAAAGAAATAATTTATTACACAACTGATTTTTTTTGCATTCTTTACACAATCAAGCCAATTGACACTTCATTAAAATACTGTAAAAACTTAATTTTTGTTGTTTCCCAACTGAAACTGTTTGGCAGTTCAATTAATACATAAAGTGGTAATTAATATCACTGCTATCGACTATAAGTAATATTAAAGGCATACATACAAGCCAGCAGTGAATATGCCACCAAACACAATCACATAAATGTTTGGGTTATAATGAGATAGCATACATGCCGTAACAGAGGTGTCTAATTTTCTTGTAGCTGTCTTCATATATTGTAGTTTTTAAGAAGGTTGTAATAAATGTTTGAAAGTCCCAGATTGCAAATGATATCGCACCAAACTAAACAGTGACTATTCCATCATTTAGTTTGTTCATGATAAACTAGCAAAGTTTTGAAAGCAACAAAGGAATTTTAACTGGTCTTAATACAGAAGGATTTGGCTCAATTATTTGCATTAAACATATAATGTCAACCAAAAATGACTTGCACTTATGTTTCTTGATTAAAATACCAGAAAGCTTTGTCAAAAGAGGAGTGTCAAAACATGCACACCAAGTAATTGAAATTGTTGAAAAGTGGAGATTAATAGCTCCATGAAACTCTGATGATGACATCACAATAGTCAGCCTAAGTTGACTCTACAGCAATAACAACTCCTAATAATGTTTTAAACAATACGTGTCACATTTGTAACAAAACAGACTTGACTGTTGATTGTTTAGTTGTTAAAACAACCAACAACACAACTACACCTGAAAAGAAGCTAAAGATGAATACAGGTCTAAAAACACATTTTAAATCAATTTGACAAGATACACTTATTCTCTAGGTGTAAAAACAAAATATAACATTTCATTATGTTTAATTTTTTGATTACAATAAGATACTGCATGAAGGTGGATTTTACCCTTTACACTGTGCTGCTTAATGCAGAAAACCCCAAATAAATCACTGTGTTAGATACAGACAACAAAAACTGAGGCAAACAGTTCTTAAACCACACACTCAGTGATATGTTATATTCATGTGTCTGTAAAAACTACACATCAATGAAATACAATTGATCAATTTCAATATTAAAACATAGTCTGGTATCATTTGTATATGTACCGTACCTAATTTAGTTCTATTAGAAGCACATGTCAACCAACAATTACATTGGCTGTTTACTAAATCATTGAAATATTACTTATTTATTAATATTAATTTACATACACATATGCACTACTAATAGAGCAAATATGGTATATACTACAACATTATTAGCTTTGGGAGGTACAGATAAAAATATATGAATGTAGAGACTGATAAAAGCAAGATTGGGGTTGTTTGCTGGTGATTAAGTAAGGTAGTCTTACTGCAAGGAATTTTTTTTCATCTAATTATTTGCACCTTGAAAATTTTAACTTTTATGTTGGCTTGACATTTCAACATTCTGGTCATCTGATATAGTTGTGCTTGAAACAGTTGCCTCTGAATGATCATAGTAATTTTCCAAAAGGACATCAGTATTGTGTTTATCTGTAGACTCTGATTTACCCAAGACTGGACATTCTTTTGCTCCTGTATCAGATGTTGACTGTCCACCTGTAATAGATAGTATAAGTAAGCAACATGACGTCTGTGTGGTGTGGCCATTAAATTATGACTGGAAATTGATCATACAAATATATAGAACACATGGAAACAGTTTCTGATTCACTTGGTGTGAAAACAATCACTTCCATCTAATATTTCTACGATACCACAATAAATTGTGTTTGTATTTGACACAGGACAGTATTTACCCGTAATTGTTGTGCTTACCTGTTAGCCTCTCTGCTTCTTCCCTGCATGTTTTCAACTCCTTTTGACAAGCTGCTACCAAGTATGTCTATTGTTTTAAGTAAAGTACATGATAAGAACAGAGAAA